TCATAACAGTTGTATCATGGTCCTATTAACAACCCCAATTTGTCTGTTGTAGAAAATAAAAACTTTGTGCCAAACTTATTCCACAAAACCTCCAAAAGTGACTAAGGAATTTAATGTCCCTATTGGATACAATGCTCTTAAGAATTCCATGTAAGCATACAACTTCTTTAAAGAACAAATTTGCAATGTTAGTGGCATCATCAGTTTTATGACATGGAATGAATTGTGCCATCTTACTAAACTTATCTATCACCACAAATATGGAATCTCTTCATTTCTTAGTCCTATGTGAACCCAATGTGAAATCCGTAAAAATATCAACCAAAGGTTCACTAGGAACAGGTAAATGTGTATACAAGTCTTGAGGTGAAGCTTTATACTTAGCCTTTTTGCAAGTGATGCATTTACTACCAACTCAATCAACATCAATTTTCATCTCAGACCAATAAAAATGTTCACTTAGCATTTCTAAGGTCTTCTTAACCCACAAAATGTCACATTAAACCCTCACTATGTGATTCTCTTACTAACATTTCTCTCATTGAACATTTAGGAACACGCAATTTGTTTTCCTTACATAAATACCCATCATGCCTAAAGAATTTATCCACATACCTTTATCACATGAATTGTATATATTGAAAAAATTCAGGTCAGTATCATACGTGCCCGTAACATATTCAAATCCTAACAATTTAGCACTTAAAGAGGCTAAAAGCACATACCTTCTAGACAATGCATCGGATATCACATTTTCTTTACCTTATTTATATCGGATGATATATGGGAATGTCTTAATGAACTCCATCCACCTTACATGCCTCTTGTTTAGCTAACCTTGACCTCTCAAATACTTTAAGAACTCATGGTCGGTGTGAATCACGAACTCGTTTGGTCATAGGTAGTACTGCTATGTCTCCAAAGCTTGAACAAGTGCATACAACTCCTTGTCATATGTAGGATCATTGAAAGCTGCTTCATTTAGCTTTTCACTGAAGTAAGCTATCGACCTTTTGTCCTGCGTTAAATAGTTCCAATACGTATTTCTGAGGCATCACCTTCAATCTCAAAGGTTTTGTCAAAGTTAGGAATTCTAAAATCAATGCTTTACTCAACTTATCTTTAATAGCGTTAAATGCATGTTCTTGCTCAATGTCCCATTGAAATCTAATACTCTTCTTAACAATTTTCATGAGTGGTGTGGCAATTGTGCTAAATTTTTTAATAAAATATCTATAGAAACTAGTCAAACCATGAAAATTTCTTACCTCAGTTATGCTTTTAGGTATTAGTCATTCCTTGATAGCCTTAATTTTCTCCTCATCAACTTCTATCCCCTTGGCACTAACAACATACCTAAGAAAAATAATTTTCCCTATACAAAATGTACACTTTAAAAGTTAACTATAGTTGTTCTTATCTTAAGACCACAAACACACACACCTTAGATGCCCTATATGCTCATTTAAATCCTCACTATATACCAAGTTATCTTCAAAGTAATCTGCTACGAATTTACCTATGAATGCATGCAAAACATGATTAATTAATCGTATAAATGTGCTAGGTACATTAGTAAGTCCAAATGACATGACTAACCACTCATACAATCCATATTTAGTTTTAAAAGTGGTTTTCGATTCATCTTCTTCACTTATCCTAATTTGATGATAACCAATTTTAAAATCAATTTTACTAAATATGCATGCGCCGTGTAATTCGTCTAACATATCATATAACTTAGAAATATGATGATAATACTATACCTTTATATTGTTGATGGCTTGGCAATTCACACATATCCTCCAAGTTCTATATTTCTTTGGCACAAATAGCACTGGTACGACACATGAACTCATGCTTTCCCTCACATACCTCTTGTTCATTAATTCCTCCACTTATATTTGAAGTTCCTTGGTCTCCTCGAGATTACTTCAATAAGCTGGCCTATTTGGAACGATAGCTCTAAGTACAAAATCAATTTGATACTCAATATCTTGAATGGGTGGTAAGCCACTAGGCATGTCCTCTAAGAATACGTCTTAGAATTTCTGCAACAAAGAAGTAGTCAAATTAGGGAGGGACGTATTAGATTCCTCAGGATTGAGGAGGGCCGACCCCATTTTGGGGCGTTGGCCTGAGCGCAGGCCAACCCGTGTGGCTCGCCGAGCCACAATGGGCCGACTTGTTTCACGGGCCAAAATGGCCCGTGACAGCCCGCCCAAATTAAAAAAAATGAAGAGTTGCAGGAGTTCCAAACATAGAATGTTGTAACTTGTAATTTTTTAAAATAGTTTATTTCAAAACAATATGTCATTTTTAAATTTATTTGTTTCAAGAAAAATTGTACACGAAGTATTTTATTCGTGTATAATTTTAACTCCGCCTACGTCATGTAGCCGGTCCCAAGCCCGAAAAAAAGAGGAGGGTTATAAGTTGTAATTTTTATTTTATTTGTAACGCGTATAAATTATGTAATTTTTAAATTTTCTTTAAGAAAATGTTAGATTTGTAATCTTGTTATTATTATTAAAAAAAATGAGTCGGCTTGGCTCGACAAAGCCCGAGCCCAAAGCTCGAGCCGAGCCTTATTTTTTTGGCCGAGCTTTTGCTCAGCTTGGGCTAGGGCTCGAAAAAAGCTCATTTAAAAAAGTTCGAGCCAAGCTCGAGTCTCGAGTTTCGGCTGGCGAGCCAGCTCGACTCGACTCGTTGATATCCCTACCACTACTTTGTCCCACCAAGTCATAGTATAATCGGTAAATTCAAGTACTACAATTTTTACATTCTTTTGCTCCGAGTAGTTATGGTGATCAAATATTAATTCGATCTTCTTCTCCCACTTCAAGTATGCTTCCGGATCACTCATTCCTTTGGATGAAGGATTCTCATTTTGATGTTACCCATGCTTCCATTTATTTTATCTCCAACAAGGTCGCTACTCCCCTTTCATGCCTAACTCATCTATCTCTCATTATTCCTATCTCAACATCCACTAATGTCCATTCATCAATGTCACTACCAGCTTCATATTCTACACGATTCTCCATCCAAGGCTTCTGCCTACCTTGTTTCCTTGCACTGGGAACTCCCCTACGTAAATAGGCAAACAACGAGTTTTGCCTTTCCATCCACGCTTCCTGCCTATTCAATATGTCCCTCACATCTTCAAACAATCTCTCTCAAATCGTCGTATCAACTCCTTCAACATGATGACTTGATTGTTGTTCTTGTTTGAGGTAGAATCATCTTTGTCAGAAATTCTAAATCTATAGGAGTATTTGCCTTCGTGTATATGCCCGTGTATCACTTAAATTGGTTTTTTTCCTCTAATGGTCTCATCACTCTTGCCTTTTCCACTCAATGCTTTCGCCCAAATGCTTCAAAAAACTAATTCGATCTCAACCAAGTTTTATCATCAAAGAATTTAAAATAAAATGTGGGTGAGAATTTGTAACTTAGAATGAAAGAAAAAAAAAACAAAAAGAATTTGACATTTTTTGAATAGAAACTATATCAATTTAAGAAAGTGGTTCTTGAATTTGGGTGGGAGTCGATTTTTTTGTCACTCAAAAAAAAATAAATGAAATTGAATATTGCTGATAATTTCAGAATTTTTTTGGCTCGAAAATTCATCTATGATACTAGCGAAAAAGAAAAACTGATTTGGGCTGTTAAATTAGCTCAAAAACAACTTTTGATTTTTTTATTTTTATTATTATTTTTTGGATTGAAAACTCAAATGATGAAGATCGCGGAAGATGAAAGAAACAAAACAAAGGACTCAACAAAAAGGAAAATAATATAACATTGATTTTTGGAGCCCAAGATCTGATATCAATTGATGTGAACCTACGTAGTGATAGTAGATCTGAATTCCACAAAAGATTAAATCAACCTAAGAAAATCAAGATATTAAAATTTGATTTAAAAATAATGAACTAAAGAATCAACATAATCACTGACAATATGTTGACACCGTGATCATAAGATTCAAAAATTTCACCCGAATTATTTGAACGCTACAGGAAATAGTTCTTGATAAGTTTGTAAAATTAGTTCAACGAAGAACAAGGAATTGAAAGTAAAAATTGCTTACAAAATAATTCTTTCTTATGGAATGAATTAAAATTGTTTACAATGTAAATAATGAATTCTATTTATAGGGAACCCATAAAATCATAGCAAAAAGGGAATTAAAGTCTTAACAATATTAAAAGTTACCATAAAGTAGAGTTTTAACATAAATATAAGATTTTGCAAAAACTAAAAAAATCTGGCGACCTAAATCAACTATGTAACCACAGTGTACTTCAATGCGGTGCATAGACCATGGAAAATTCGGCCAGTTAGCCTTGGCATTGAGGTATGCGACTACATGCCTCTTGCAACTATGCGGTTGCATAGTTGAAGTCTCTCATCTTCAACCGTTGGTTGAACCAAATTGATCCATCGTGATTCTTCTTTCAAACCCAACATGAAACTTATTCCTTTGCTTATCATGACCGACATTTCACCCAACATAATTTGTACGAACAATCTCATCACTTCTTTAAAACTCTTTGCTTGCAACCTCGTCATCAGCCCTTCTCCAACAATGAATGAATCTGTCCAAACTAGTCTTTATTCCTTGGGTCAGTCATTTTTTTCCCCAAAGAAAATGTAAATAGTAATGCACATATTCGAAAAGATCTACACAAATTATCATACTTAGGTTTAATCAAAGTGGATAGTAAATTTTTCATTTTCAAATGTAAGGTACTGCTACCGAATCCACTAATTGAGAGGATTGAACAAATGTCCACTAACCTTTCGAAACATGGCAACATTTTTATAATTTATTACCAAATGGCCAATTTTAACTAAACTATCCTTAACTAAAGTTCCATTTCAAGTCGAGAAACCAAGATGCATAGCAATTTTCAATCCAGAAATCCAGTATGCACAAACAATGCCACACTCCGAACTTCCATATTACTCCAAAGGGAGAGGATCAATAGGCATAAAAGAACATCAGCCATCATTTAAAAAGAAATTACCAATTACCATAGGGTTCAACAAAACATGCACACTACCACACATCTAAGGTTAACATCCAAGTCTTCTAGGGAGAGTCCCATACAAACCCACTAAAATTATACAGGTACCACACAGACCACCATTACAAAGACAGGCCCAACAACTATTAATATGCATCTTCAGTAGTCATCAGGGCTCCTGCTAGAATCAAGACTCCAGCTCCTGCTCCTGATTGGGCTTCGACTTCGGCTCCTTGAGCCATAAGGAGACCTAGGGTACGACCTCTTTCTATACCTTGCATCTCGAGGTGAAATGGACCTGTATGGATGGAACGTGTTTAATCTTCTTTGATGTTAAGCCAATGCAAATACTAAATAACCAAAAGCAATAATTTTACACCTTGAGTAGCGTCTTCCTCTTGGAGATGGAGAATAGTAATCAGGCCCTCGGGAGTAAGTTCGAGCATAAATTGGTGAGCGGGAATATGTCCGTGCATAGCGAGGTGATCGAGAATAACCGAGTGGGGACCTTCTCCGACTGAAAGAAGCAATATATTCAGTTAGATATGGTACTTTAGGCGCTCTTGCATTGCAAGTAATTTTTTTAAGGTGGCAAAATGATAGAAAGGTCATTTCTGCTCTGCACTGCACTGAAAGTCTGTTAAAGTATGAAATTAAACAAATGAACTCAAGCACTTTACCTTATTCGTTCTCTGGCCCTCATCTCAGAGGGCTTCTTCCTGTTTTCCTCTGCAAATACAACAGTCAACTCTCGCCCCAGAAGAATCTGCCCATCCATCTGATATTTGGCTTCTTCAGCATCAGCAGGGTCTACATACTGCACAAAACCAAAGCCCCGTGGCTCCCTGCATGATTTAACATGACACGTGTGAAAAAAGTAGATCACATCCTAAAGACATCAGTAACAACTATTTAATGTGTAGATAGCATCTCCCATGCTTATGTGAAGCTACAGTAACTTGAATAAAAAAGGAACTTAGCTCATACCCATGAGAACTCAGTAAAGCAATTACATGGCCGCTAACCTTGTGAAACCATGATTAAGACTTGATATTCTTCAAGACCTCAACATCTTCATAATTGTACTAATACCCAACTTGCTTCAATCTTCATGTTCATTAAATATCATCTTGACCTCTTATTACTTCATTGGTATCTTCAAAATTTACAATGAAACCGAATTTCCAGAAAACAATTAAAGAAGATGAAAAGAAGAGGTGCAGACCAGGTAGCATAGTAAAGAGAATAACCTCATTACAGTTGCCTTAACCAGTTTAAATTCAAATCCAATTGCAATTAACAATGGCATTGCACAAGAGGCTTAAATAACAGATTACTCACCCAGTGTAATAGTCACGTGGGAGATAAACGTCCTTAAGAGGCCCAAACTCCCCAAATCGAGCATGAAGATCCTCAGACCTGCAAGTATTACAAATTATATATAGTTTAGATGCGTAGAAGCAGTTTCAAGACAAAAAGAAAGGGAATTGCAGAAACAGAAAAGCCCCAGCAATACACTTGAATTTGTTGTCTGATGGTTGGGACTACATGCAGATGTTCTACAATATTTCCATAGTCAAATCAGTAATGCCCACATTACAGTCAATATCTACTAATATCATTAAGGCCCTTCACAAGTCTCAAAAATTCCCAACTCAAAATAGACCAGGGTAATTGTAAATACCTAAAAAGTAATAGTAAATACCCAAAAGGTAATGGTAAATGGTAAACCTCAAGAATAAGGTTACCCAATAAATTAATATAGGCAAACGGCTTACATTCCCACAAACTCAAAATAGACCAGGGTACGACAAAACATTGACAGAAAGAAAGTCTCACAATGATGCTGTGTACAATCTGGAATAATTATGATGACAAAATTATGATGGCAAACAAAAGAAAATTTGACTACATCAAGAGAAGACAAAGCAACAACACTTAAGTTGAAATATTGTTCTCAAAAACATGAGTTTCAAATTTATGTACTTAAAACTCAGGCATCAGAGGGGAGAAATATAAAGCTTCTAACATCACATGGTCCACAGAATTCTTCCCACACTATTCCCATTGGCAAATCCATCAAGTGCAACTGGCGGAAAGCAAAGAAAATCAAATGATATCAGCTTGACATATAATACATTCATGCATTTTAACATTTTCCCTAGAGATGCCCATGTTTCCCGCACACAAGTATCTTTATCATAGTAATCTCACAAATATCATGGTAAATAACATATTCCTAAATGTAATCGTTCCTATGTGAGATTCTGTTTGGGATGGAGGTTTTCACGAGCACGTGAACTCATGGGTACATGTTTGTAACAGAAAACGATACATATAAAACCACACTCAGATATGAACATGAGATTGGATATAAATACAATCAAAATAGACATATGACTAATCAAACAAATTTGTACATCCAAACAGTCCGGCACATAACATACTCGTAAACAGATTAGCTTCAAACACATACATGATCAACACCCCTAAAATAACAATAACCAAATGCAGAAACAGGAAATAATGCTTTCTGCGGAAAAGATAATATTTTTGATACAGAAGATATATTTCCAGAGCATGTCAGTCAAATCAAAAATATTAGGGAGGAGATATTCAGTGATTCTAAGCTAATTTCAATAACAAGAAAGCAGCTTGTAGCAAGTTGAACAACTACAAGAAACAATAGCAATTCAATTTGGATTTAATGAAACATTAAAATAGACCTGCAATCATGCCGAAGGTTGCGGACCAAGAGGCTAGTAGGAAGGTCTCTTGCACGACTCCTGTAGTGGCCTCTTGGGCTTGGGCTTCGACGCCTCCTGCTGTAACCCCTTGGAGGGCTGGGGCTATAACTATAACCTCTACCCATTTTCTATCTACTTCCTAAATCAAACAGATTCATCAAATTCTTGCAACGTATGCTCCATACAAGAAACAGAAATTTAGGGTGGAATATAATAATATGATCACAAACCTACGGACAAATATAAAAACGGTATTAAAACATACGTAAATTAAAAATTATCTAGAGATACCGTCATCAATTTACAGAGCGACTAAATTATCTAAAACCATGTGATAATAATTTATTTTAATTACATTTTAAGAACAGACATAAAAATAAGCTTTTAAAATATATCATCTCCTATTATTCCAGTCTTTTGGCAACCTAGCAAACATACAGATCGAAATTTCATAAACTCAAAAAGTACCGTAAGACAGTAAAAAGTTGATTTTAAGCAGTTAGATGAAAGAAATAAATTCACATGACCTGAAACCTTATACCGTAGAATTTCTGTATTATAAGCAAAATCAAAAAGTCATGATTCGATTATCACAATATTATTGATCTACCTATATTATAATCGCATAAAACAGAATTCATCAAATCAAATCATACAAGGAGATTGAAAAAATAATTTTTCAATATGAACTACAAAAATCCTTGTAAAATAAAATATTCGGTATACAATATTATTACCTTAGAACGGGAATTTTACGAAAATTTCTTAGACACGCAGATGGTTTCTTGTTCTTCCTCTCACGAATCTCGTCCGTATTTTATATCATGAATTTCTGGGGTTCTCCAGAAGCTTCTGATTGGGTCCATTCAACTATGGGCTTATATAGTAAGGATCATCATCTCTTTCGAGCCCATAAATATGTAAATGTCTAGACAATGTCAGATTGGGCCTTTACCAGCTGTTTAAAATTAAATAATCAAAAACTACACCACAAATTTTTTCTTTTTTATTTCCATGCATACTGCAATATCAAAGTATATTTTAAAAACAAGAAATCGCTTATCTCCTCAAATCCTAATAAATTAACTTGCGGTCTCACGCATACATCACAAAAATCATACAAACCATGATACAGAATTGATAAAAATATCTTAATAAAAAATGTAACATTCACCACGACATGCTAAGCCACATATTACTATTCGATATGTTGGAATGATGACATAAAAAGTAAATATTGTTTGTAGTCATTAAGACCCCGTTTGGTTCTCATTAAATTATATTTCATTTTTCTCTCTTCTATTTTCAATCATAAATTTTCTATAAAATTATATTACACGTAAATCGAAAACTTTTTTTTTCTTTTTTAACCACTTATTTTTCAAAAAAAAATAAAAATAGCATTTAATCCGTTTTCATTTCAAAAAATTGGGTCAATTAGAAGCTAAATATGTCGTTCTATTAGGCTTTCGTACGTGACTCAACGGGAGATGTTGCTTACAAGTTTTCCTATTGCATCCCTTTTTCCCGCACCTACCACACACTGTTGGTTTCAATGATTCCAAACTTATTCATCTCCTTGTCTTCCTCGGCCTTATGGCAACCTTCAAGATTTAGGTGGAAAAATATCAACTTAATATTAATTGTTATCGACTTTCCACTACGAACAGTCTCTGAGTGGAACTATGCACCCAGCATAGGGGAAATTGGCAAAATCCCCCCAACGGTCACCGAATTTTGCCAATTTCTCCTAGGAGGTCACTGAACTTCACTTCGTCCCTAAATGGTTACTGAACTGAACTTCACTTCGTCCCTAAATGGTCACTGAACTTTATCGAAGTATGGTGTATGGAACAATATTTATATGGTTGATCTCCTTTCTCCCAATTAGAGCTAATCATGTGGACATGTAACTCCATCAAAATGGAACCTATTGCATGTGCATTTTATTTCCAGCAAATCAATAATATGCTACGGGTTTTAGTCCGACACTTGATACACAAAATCGTTCGAAGATGAGACCTATGAAAATGCAATTCAATTTTTAGCAACTATAATGACAAGTGTAATATTTCTCTGTGTGATATGTATCGATATAATAATTTCTGCCATATTGAAAAAAAAAAAAAAATTATCAAAACATAAAGGACATCACTATTGTAATTTACCTTTTAACATTTTTATTCAATGATATATTTAGCCATTATACATATCATTCCATCCACTAGTAAAAGATAATGCAACAATAAAAGGATTATGCCCAAATATTTTCGAATGACGTGAGTTACGTTTTGTACAAAACAATATGGATAAAGGAATAATAGTATTCAACGCATGTACAGGAATGGAAAACGCATCAAATATACTCATAACTAAGGTGAAAAAACGTATTTTATCCAATTCTTAAATTCTATTTTAATGCTCACACAATAGTAATATAAATAATGAATTAGTACTAATTAATGAAACAAAAAAGTCAAAAGATAGATCACACGATTAGAATAATACATACCTGTTGAACTTTGATTTTGATTTTTCACCAAAAATCATAGAAGAAATATGTATGTAATCCAGAAATCTAAATTCTCGTGTGTTGAAAAGAGTGCTTGAATTTGAAATCTGCATATGTATGGAAGTCACAATTTCACCCCGTTTTGCCCCTATTTTTTCAAATTAAAATGGGTGGAATAATATATTTTTAGAGAATGAGTGGTTGAAAAAGAAGAAAAAGATTTCGATTTACGTGTAATATTATTTTATGGAAGATTGTATGATTGAAAATAGAAAAGAGAAAAATGAAATTTAATTTAATGGGGCCAAACGGGGGCTTAATGAATAGTGATCTGTGAGAAATTAAATTTTGGTTACGAAAGATAAGCCAGTTTTAAGGTAGTAAAAATGGTACTTTTTTGTCAATTTTACTGTATATCATAGATGTAAAAAATACAATAATATATTGTGGAATGTTTTATTTTTGTAGGGTCTATATGATTTTTTCCGATAAGTCTACCCTCTTGCTTGGGCTTTTCTGCAATCAATTGAAGTTGACAAGAGATTATTTCTGATTATATACAGAAATAGTAAAAACCACAACTATATAGAAGCCAATTGCATCTTGAGGGCTTGCCTTTAAATGAAGACAAGTAAATTACTTACAAACTCAAAGCATCAATGGATAAAAAATGTGTAAGCCAATCAAATTTATTAAGCATCCACTGGTACAAATGATAATCACATTGCAGCAACAGCAAAAAGCCATTACATTGCTTGAAAATTTGTTACTGAAATGACTTCTCACTGTCAGATCCAACTTCCGGTATGAACACGGACTAATACAGCAAAAAAAAAAAAAAAATAATAATAATAAAATTACACAAAAAAAAAATTTACTAATTTTTTTTAAAGGGGATTTGGAGCGGACGGACGGACTGTAGCACTAGCCTACCCGTCCCTGTGCCTTCTGATGGCAATAAATTGGTATTGTGGCTGATTTAATATCCATCAACTTCAAACATATAGTCAAAAGTGAAACGGTATGTGAATCGTACCAACATTTGGCCCTTTTGGGTACAATTGGCAAACACCATGCTCTTCTAGAGTAGGAAGAACATCATCAATCTACATAAAAAATTCAAAACGAAGTTATCCTTGACATAACTCAAAAGAAAATAAAGTTTTCCCAATTGAATTTCTACATTATTTGAGGATTGATTTATCATTCCAGAGCAATAAATAACAATATATAGAAAAATAGCTTCTATCTATCCCCAGATTCTAATTGAAACGTTTCCACTGAAAGATAATCCAGACAAAATTGTAGACATCTCCAAAAGAAACAAAATTCACGAATAAAATTGCTCACTCAGTGCAAACCAATTTATTTATTTATTATTTTTTTTTGCACTGCTATTTATTTTACCTCATCCTCAAATCAAACCCATAATTGATAAAAAAGAAAACCCGGTGAAAGATTGTTGCTGTAGCCATTTACATCTGATTTCAATACTCCTATTTCTTGATAAATGGACAAACAGAATTTGAGAGTTAATTGTTCCAATGGTCACTGAACTTAGGTCCATATATTTGATTGGTCATTGAAATTTAAAATGTCAAGTTTTAATCATTGAACTTATATCCATGTCTTCTATTGCTCACCGAAATTTAAAATGTCGAGTTTTGACCACTAAACTTTGCAAAATGTGGTATACTACTTACTGTAAACTCGATATTTTTTAAAATTCAGCAGTTATACTAGTGAGTAACGTATGACATTTTTCAAAGTGCAGTTGTCAAAACTTGACATTTTAAATTTTGGTGAGCAATCGAAGACATGAACCTAAGTTCAGTGATCAAAACTCGATATTTTAAACTTTAGTGACCAATCAAAGACATAGGTCTAAGTTCAATGGCCATTGGAACAATTAATTCAGAATTTGATGGCGTGGTAAAGAAAAAGATGCTAATCGAATTAATTATGGCTTGTGAGAAAAGTGAAATATATGCAAAGATCATATAAGATTGAACTCATACTCAATCGGTTTTAAGCACTGTTTAACTTTGACCTAATCAATTGCGTATGATTGTGGAGGGATTCAAACCTGTATACCAATAACTATTGGCAGGCTTGATTTGAAGTTGATTTTAGTACTTTAGGAACATAGGTTTTCCATTTTATGGCTGAAGCTTTAGGTAATGGCCGATGATCATATTTGTGTTTAATCATTTTTACATGTACAATCACTCTATAAATCAATATCTATCATTGTATTCATTACATTATGAAGAGCTTTTGTGCATTTTTAACTAAAACGTTCACCAATTCGTTAGGGTTAGATATAAACACAATGAGAAATAATTTGAGAGTGCAAGAGATGGGAAAGAGGATTTGGTTAGGGTTAGAATACATACATCAAGTGTTAAGTAAACTCATGTATAGAGAGAAATAGAAATGGCCTGAGTAGGTATAGTTAGATGTGCCCAGTTCAAGCCCAAGATGGGGTTGTCGAGGTTGCTCAATTTAATAAATCAAATACCATTGAATAGTCAATGTCACGTCAACATATATGGGACCACCTCTGCCACGTGCATACCACGTAATTCATAAGTGTAACAATAGTCCCCCAAGTCTGAGTCATACATTTATGTGCGGGTCGAAATTTGAAATATAAGTAGTGAAGTAGGCGAGGCCTTACTGATAGCCTTGAAAATATGAAACACATTTATGTTCAGTATAGAGTGCTACCTGTGGTTGCTTTTGAGCTTGATATATAACTGAGCCTTGAGAGGATATTGCCATTTTCCTTTGAAAGTTACCGAAGGAGCTAATATCAAAAAAGCACATGTAAAAAATTTGGCAATATCCTCTCAATGGCTAGTATGCAATACTATAGTTCCACAATTCTTTCCTAATTGTGTCTGGGTGAGAGACTTATGCTACATCCATCATTACCAAATTCAGTACAAAACTGAGCCAAAAATGGATCCTTTGAACCACCAATGTAATGCATTTCGCGATACATCCTGGGTTGCATGTTTCCAATGCTCAATCTATTGTGTACCCATGTAAAACCAGCCATTTGCTCTCGATTCATTGCTCTTTAATTGAGATGGAAGAAGGTTGACTTAGTTGCTTTCCATTTAAAAATAAGTTGGACAATCCATGAGCAAGGCCACTAGTAATGTACCAAAATTCAAGTGCACTCATGTAGAACATACAAAAACTATAGGTTGTATGGTGTTTATAGATTTGGAAATGAAAATGGTTAATAGCACAAAACGTTCCTATGTTTGGCACTTGTTTCGAAAAACGTCTTTACGTTTCTTTTTTTTTTTTTTGCATTTTCTCCCTTATTTCAACGCTTTGTTGTGAAAAACGTCCTTTCGTTCATCTGCCGTCTATTTCACAGTTAAATGCACATTTGGCTCACTTTGAATTTCAGGCTTGAAGGGTAAAATGGTCAGGCACTCCAAACAAACTCTACTTCCCACGATAAAATGGTTATTCCAAAAAAAGAAAAAGAAAAAATTATTCTCGGCGAACTATAGTGTTGAAGCCTACTGTTCATCATCACCGTGGTTGATGCATTTTCAAAAACTCACTGTTTATCATCACCATGGCTGATGCATTTTCAAAAATCCTGTGTTAATCATCACCCATCAATGCATGCATTTCAAAAATGAAATGTTCATTGTCACCATAGTTGATGTGTTTTCGGAAAACAAATTTTGGTTTTCATGCCAGCTATCATTCGCCATTCCCAAAAATTCACTAAGTCTAGTCCCAGAAATCTGCACCATAAACTAAAGCTGTAAACATGCTTTCCCCGAAGTTGGACAATGTTTGCGTAAAATGTCCCTACGTTTTACAATGTTTGTGTATAACGTCCCTACGTTTGACAATGTTTACGTTAAATGTCCCTACGTTTCATTTTGTATTGCATGAAAAGTCCCTACGCTTGTCACCTATTGTGCATAACATCCCTATGTTTCATATTTTTACGAAAATCGTCCATGTACATCCTGTTTGAAATCCCTTTCATTCACGGCATCAGCAACTTACAGCAAACTCAACAAGCAACCTCACACACTAATCAACCCACCAACTCCACTTACTGGTCAAACTTTAAATTAAAAAAGTAGCAGAATATACTGAACAAATAGGTCTGTAATGGCACAATAAAAGGCTTCATATCATAGTTAATATTTACAGCCAAATTTGCATCTAATGTAGGCAAAATAAAGATGTCCATTGACATAGCATTCATATGTTTAAACAAAAGAAATTTACAGTTCAACA